CCCCAAAACCCCAAAACCCCTGCCAATGGGTTAAAATAGGGGAAAAGTGTAATTTAATTATCATTTATTTATATACCGTTATACTTTCTTTAATAATCAGAATTAATCTGATGTAATGCTAATCTTTTATCCTAAGTTTAAAAGCCTTTACTATTTGGCAATATAAAGACTTCATTCAATTTTTAAACCATTGTACCATCAATAACAAAGTGACTTGAATATAAATATACTTTCACCTCTTTATAGTTTTTAATATATTTCAAGCCCACTGAATATTGGAACAATAAAAGCAGTTAAAATCATAACTCCACATAAAACAAAGACTATTAAGGATTGTCTATTATATTTCTTCGTAAATTTATCAAATAGAGCAAGACCACCCGCGGCCCCAATAGAACCTAGGATGCCAACCCAAAGAGCATATGGCAAGTTTATGTAACCATTAATAAGATAAGTTGCTGTTGAACCAGCTGATGAAAATATAATCATATACATGCTAGTAGATGTTGCCACAGATGGTGGAGTTCCAAGACTAATCAAGACTGGATTAATTATGCCACCACCACCAATTCCTAAGGCTCCTGAAACCCAACCTCCTATGAAAGAAATCAAAATAATCTTAAAAGTATTGATTTGAGAAAACTATATTTCACTCTCATGAATTGGAATGTTGTACTTGATTTTCAGGATTTATTGGAATCTCACAATTTTTAAGGCACATACTGTGATTAAGCCACACACAATGAAGAAAGAAAGTAAAATAATGAAGTCGATAGGCCCACATCTTTCAACTCCAACAATAGAAGGAACATTTTTGTTTCCTCTTAATAGATTTGTACAGAGAACCAAAATAAATATCATAAAGCAAAGAATATGTTTCTCCCATTAGAAATTAGTCTTTTCACTTGCTAGAATTTTTTCTAGTTTCCTCAATTCCAATTGCGAAACTTTGCTGTCTTTTTAATCACGATCTATCATTGGATAGTCAACTTGTTATTCAATCTCAAAGTTTAAGACTTTCTTGTCATAGTTTGTATTTGTATTTTCAATTTTATTAGGACTTTATTATTCATTTCGATTCAATGGCTGTAATGTTTCCTATTCAGTGGATTGATTTTTCTATTAAATCAATCTTTATTGCTGGAACTTTAAAGTCTCTTTTTTATACATCTCTCTACCCTTCATAAGACTTTGAAATCCTATAAACAACTGAAGAATTGTTAATATACCCGATAGCAAAATAGATGGCAGCATGATGTTAAAATAAACACCAATTAGTGATCCCATCATTACTGTTGGGAGCATTAGAATAGCTAAATTGTAATCAATAATGACGGCATTTTCTTTCTCAGGGTGCTTTTTATCTAAGCTGTAGATATACCTAGAAATCGCACCAGTGAAGATACCGAAGTTGCTTATTGCTATTGCATCTTTAGTATTGAAATCAAAGAAGATCATAGAGAAGGGAATAATTACTCCACCTCCACCCAGCCCGGCAACTGAGAAAGCTCCCATTAGTATCGTTATTAATAATATACCAATTAACTCTCGCTCGTAAATCGGAAATACTGATTTATGCTCGCATGTAAGAGAATCTATTGAGCACAGTGTAAAAGGAGGATTGCAATCATCATTATTGAGGCATGACGAAATTATCTAGGCTGTTGCAAGTTCTTTTAGTTCTAGATTTTACAACTTAGCCACTCCAATATATAGTATAAGGACACAAGTAATATAAAGAATTTATCTCATTGAATGAATGAATGAGTAAATATTATATGATTGCATTAATTTCTCCCTTATTAATAATGTAATACATTTGCCTCATGGGGTTTTGGGGTTTTGGGGTTTTGGGG